AAGCTTCAAACCAAAAAAAATAATCCCCCCCCCCCCCCAAAAAAAAAAATTCTGACTTTTTTCTGAGAATTCTGCTTTAATGTCAAAGTCAGAAGATCAAAGTCAAAATTCTGACTTTGATCTCAAAATTTGGACTTTTTAATCCTCCACCATTTCATTCCTTCTTGTTTGCATCCAATTTTATCTCTGCTTGCTCTTACATCTCTTATGCACATTTATTTGATAATAATTATTATTTTTTCAGATTATAAATGACTGTAAGGAACATCTGTTCAAAGATGCTGAAAAGAATCCAGGCAGAAGAGGACCTTTAAGACCCAATCATCATCTTCATCATCTTAAGTTTGGTTGTGAAACCTTTGATCAAGGCAGGGACTTAAAATGTGTCCAGGACATAATCTTCCAGTTTAAGAATCAGATTGGGTCCTAATCTGCGTGTCTTCTCGACTGTAAAACATTTAAGATGATCTTGATGAAAGCTTCTGTTTAAATGTAATCTCCGATTTTCCTAATATTGAGTGTACTGCATGTTTGTTACCACTAGGTGGCGCATAGAGGTTTCTTCAGCTCTAATGGGTAAAATGAAGAAGATGAATCACTTCTCTAAAAACATTTCATAGAAAAAAGACGGTTGAGCAAAGTGCAGCATTTTTTTATTGGACATTTCAACATTTAATTTGTTGTTATGAAAAATCTGCATAAAAAATATGTGATTAACAGTAAAGTAATAATAAAATTAAACATTTTTGGCTTCTGTTTCCATATACTGTGGCTAACTTGTAGAGAATGAGCTGTAAAAAATATTATATGAATTGATAAAAGTTGTATCTAGCGTATGACCGGTCCAAAAAAGTTCCAATAGAATAAAGTGAAATAATGTCTCTACAATGTATTTGAATTCTGTACTTGACATGTGGGTTAGATTTTGGAGGGAGTGTTTTAAATGTATTGCTCCATTTTTGTTTAGTTCACTAAACGAACTGATTGGGGAAAAGTACTGTGATTATGTTTAATGGACTTTTCATTGTTTCTTCTTGCTGATTTTGTTCTTTTAATTGTTTTCTGAACCTCAAGACCTCAAGCAAGTGAAAGCAGCCAACATGGAGTAAATGGTTTTTATTTTGAGTTATTTGTTGCTTAAGATATTACATTTTGCACTGGCAACTTAAATATGATTCAATTGCACATTAAATCACAAACTGATCATGGTCTGTTTAAGTTATTGTGTATTTCTTTAAACTTTGTGTTATATTTCTCAATTCTTTATGTAACATTTATAAGTTTTAAAGTTTGTTTTCCAAAATGGTGAAAAAAATTAAACACAAAATGTGGCAGAAGATTTGCCACCCATTCTGATTCAGATTCTGGAAAGCAAATCTTTAGGCACAACAAAACTCATCATGTCTGACTTTAAGCGGATTTTTGTGAATAGCTAACATTAGTTATTAATTTGGGTAATCATCTATTTCTATATCTCCTTAACACTTGCATTGTAATTATTGTAACCAATATATAACATCATACAGAGGGTAGCAACAACTAATATCTGCTTTTCATCTTCTGATTGGATGTTTCAGTAAAGTCCTGTCTCATTGGTTCCTGGAATCAGGAGTCTATATGGAAGATCTCTAGCTCAAAATTTTAAAATGTCCAAAACTAAAGAATTTCTTTAAAAAGTTATTTGATCTTTAAAAAAATCTTTGTATTGTTTTCATATGTAACAAAGCATTTTCAATTATTTAGTTTGAAATTAGATTAGCTAATCTAATTTCAATGAATTACAAGAATGCCCCCTGAAAAAAGATATAACATAAAAATACCCTAAATTAAAAGTATTTACAAGTCTATTCAGTAGAAATTTAGGCGTTACCATTACTTTAGTTCCTTCTAGATGTGGTGCTACAGTATTCTGTCTCGGTCAGACTTTATAAAAGGTTTTCAGCAGCCCAGGAACCAAATTATTTGGGGCCCCAAAGACTTTTAAAAAAATTATTTATTTATATTTTTTTAATGAATACATATTTTCCATTGTACTTATATAAAACTCATAGATTGATATGAGATAAATTATATAAATATTTTGGGATTTTTATAAACATAAGCCATGTAATACATATGTGTAAATGCATATGTATATAAGTATATCTAAATGTATATGGCTATATATACATCTACGAAATATATATTTTAAAATGTCCATAACATATAAATAGTTATTTAAACAACTATATTGAAATATTTATTTAAATAGTTAAATTAAGTATTTAACTAACTATTCTAGTTAGTAACCTTATATATATATATATATATATATATATATATATATATATATATATAAAAATGGCGGTATGCATTTTACAAACTAAATCTGCCATTAGTCGACGTCTTTGATTTTGCCATTGCGCAGTCACGTGACCCAGCTACGTCATTTCCGCTCCTCGGGCACTGGAAGAAGCTGCTGTTTTGGGGCCAAATGAGCTGCGAGGCCGCCGGGGCTGGTCTAGTTAAGCTTTGAGGGGCTCGGAGCGGACTGAAGCCCGGCTGGATTAATGCGGACAGGGCGGCGCGACCTGCCAGCAGGGCCACGACAAGCGCAGGCGAGCCGAGCCGACAGTCCGGCTAACAGCCGCTGCTAGCAGGGCAGAGAAAAAAGCCTCTCCGTAGGTCTCACACCGCTCGTCCTGTCGGGGCTCCATTCCAACACAACACCTGGTGGATGAATGATGTCTGCCGCTAGTATTGACCCTCAGGTGAGCGGCGAAAATGTTTCATATTGACGCGTAGAGAGGTGAACTGAGCCGTGAAACCGGAGCTAGGAAGTTAGTTAGCCCAGAGAAATGAGAGGTTAGCTGCTGAAATCATCTGCTGGGAACCCACCAAGGCCTGGACCACAGCTTCCAGTGGCCATCTGACTCCTCAACACTGCTTAATATTCCTGTCAGAATCCATCTTAAAATGCGCATATTAAACTAAAGCATGCTAAATGTGCAACACGACCAAAACATGATGTGTTTGTGTTCTCTCTCTTTAATGTTACCGTGAAGACATCGAAAGGACAAGATGCAAGCAAAGGTAAGAGATTAATGTTCACAGCAAAACCAGGCGTTAATCTATGTAAATATTAAACACACACACACACCTGCCTCCTTGCCAGGTAGATAAAAAAAAAAAGGCGGGCCTTATATGTTGATGATTGACAACACACCAGAATAATCTACAACATGAGCCTGTGATGTAAACAGAGCTGGGTAGTAACTAGTTACATTTACTCAATTACAATTACTTGAATAACTTTTTTTTAAATTACTTTTAGGAGTAGTTTTACTGTTCTGCACTTTTTATTTTTACTTAACTAATTTTATTATGAAGTATTTCTACTTTTACTTGAGTAAAATGTCTGGATTTTCTTTGTAGTGAATGAAGAACAAGCACATTTTAACCAGAAATTTACCAGATACAGATCTGCAGTTTTTTGTTACAGTTTTATATTGAAAGAAATTGATTTAGGAAGAAAAAAAATGTTCCCTGGTTTTGTTATATTTTGTTACTTATAAGAAATACTGTCATTTTTGTCTTCAAAATACCAAACCTTCCACTTAACTTTATAATTTGGTCCATTTAATTATCACTAAATTATCATTTAATTAAATGATTGATAATTTGATCAGTTACTCAGCCCTTGAGTAAACATTTTACCAAATACTTTTTTACTCGAGGAAAACTGTTGAAATAGTTCTACTCTGAAGTAAAATTTTTAGATACTCTGCCCACCTCTGATTATTACATTCAGACTTGACATTGCATTTTTTTTTAAATTATGTTTTGTTTAGTTATTGAATAGTTAGATGGATGTCAGATTCCTCTGAGTTTATGGAAAAGGCAGAAAATCTCAGAGCGGTTTGAGGCTAGCAGCTTGTCAGCCATTTTAGTTAATGTTAGCAGTTCAAAACAAGCCAAGTTTAAAATATGTATCATTAAAACTAGAGTGCACCGATTTATCAACGTGAATTTTCTTAATTTTGAGAAATCAGACAAAATTTGCATGTGAAAATGATTTTATCTGCCTCGCCAAAGGTCTGAAAATTAGGCAGTGTCCTCTTGTGTTTTTCTGTTGGAGAGGTTTGACTGATGGACCGGTCACCAGGTCATGTCTGCATGTCTGGAGTTGACCATAGCCACTCCACTGCTGCCAACTCAGCAACTTTCTTGTTATATTTAGCGACATTTCAGACAAAAAAAAAATGTATCTGCCAAATTGGAAAGAGCAGGTGAGGCTTTTGAAAGATCGGTAATCAGAAATTGGCCGGAAAACTGCAATTGGTGCAGTTTTCCTAGTTTGGCTTGTTTGACAGTGCAGTGTGAAAGTGAACCAAATAAGCTGAAAATGTAGCAAAAGTTCTGGACTGTGAGGTGAAAACAGAGCTTTGATATGCCATCTTTTGAGCATTCCCAAATTGTTTCAGGCATTGTTATCAAATTGTATGTAAACCTCTGAATCTGTATGACGGTGAAGAAAACAACGGTGGTTTCATCTGTGTCAGTCATGAAACCCTGTTTGTGTACAGAGGCTGATGGATCAGTTCTCATTTGTTTAAGCTAACATCCTGGTGTTGAGCTTTCATGCAGGTGATGTCAGTGTTTTATCTCCATCATGTTCTTCATCTATTAGCTTCACAACAAACATGGCTCCATTTGCCTGGTTGGAAGTTTATGCAAATGATGGTGTCCGGTTTTAACAGTAGTTTGATTTTATTGCAGCCTTTCCAGTTTCAGTGCAGAACGGCTCCCTCCACCAGAAGGACTCTGTGCATGATAATGACTTTGAGCCGTATCTCACTAGCCAGTCCAGTCAGGTAGGAGCTACAGAGGGATATTTTAAAGATCTGTAACACTGAAACGCTTCTGTAGGGCTGGGCGATACGGCTTGAAAATAAAGTCTCTGGTTTTCTGACGCCAGATCCGATTTCTGATTTTTTTTATTTATTTTTTTTTTTTAAATGCATTTTATTTTCTCAAGATATAACAGAAAACTTGACAGGAAATATATTTCTATTCCCATTCTATGAGTTGTATGATGGTGTTTAGGGCCAGGATATGATCATTTTTGTTTAATAACAATATAGTCGTCATAATAGAATATAGACAAATTTTTGCCAGAACATTGAAAAATTAAAGGAAAAATATAATTTTAATGAGAAAAAAGCTTCTCACATTTGTTACATGATCTGATGTGTTAAAAAGTAAGTATATATAAGTAAGTAAGTATATCCAGTTTATAAAACCAACACCAAAGCATTCCTCATTTTAATTTTTTGTTATTGTTTGTGACTTTACTCTGGTAATATTCTGACCTTTTTCAACTCAGTTTAGGCCTAAGACAGTAATAAATGTTTCTGGATGATATATTGCCCTGGAAATTATTGTAATAAGTGATAATATTGTCATTTTGAGACTCTTTTCAACTAACATAAAGATAATGGCATAATAATGCAAGTTTGCCTTCTCAATGACAAATAACCTTTTAATTTCAAATCTGTAAAATAAGACACAACAATCAAAAACAAGGAAATAAGCAAAACCATGAATGAAATGGATTATAAAATATCTAAACAAAATTACAGTTAAACATTTTTTATGGAAATTGAGCTCACTTTAATTTGTCATGTAATTAATTTAATTGCCTACTGCAACAGGTTAACTCTATAGTCATAAGACTTTATTCTTGTAATTAAAAAATAAAATCTTAACGTGGCCCTAATATTCTGTCGTAGAGTTGACCTGTAAAACAAGATGGCTGCCCATGGTCGACCTCCATCACTCTGAACTATGGACACCCAGTTAATGGGAAAAAAATTTAAATGAATCTTCAAAAACCAAAAATTTGATTAAATCATTAAAATCGATGAATCGCCCAGCCCTGCCCTTTGTTTGGTTTTATCTGATTATTCATGTTGAATTTGTTTTTCCTTGTAGAATAACAGCTATCAGTCCATGACGGACCCCTACCTGTCCAGCTACTATGCCCCCTCTATTGGATTTCCTTACCCTCTTAACGAGGCGCCTTGGTCCACCGGAGGCGACCCGCCCATCCCCTACCTGGCCCCCTACGCCCCCCTCAGTAATGGAGACCACCACTTCATGCCCGACACTGTGTTCGGGCAGCCCGGTGGGCTCAGCAGCAGCATTTACCCGCACCGCTTCAATTTTTTCCC